GGGGTTTAGAGATCCAGAAGACCTATATAAGCCCGCTACTGATCGCACACACCATCAGCTTTTGCATTCCTCTGACATACAATTTGGTGTTCTGTTGTATTATGAGTAATAACTTTTAGAATGAACACCATCCTCGTGTTTGTCGCCCTACTTGGTTTCGCACTCTGCGATATTCCTCTGCCTCCTCAGCCTCCTGAGGCTCTTCCCGAGGTTAAAAAGGCAAGCACAAATACCCATCCTCCTTTAATCAAGAGTAGTGCATGTTCCAGCCGGAAGGAGTGATGGAGGGAAAGAGGCCGGGAAGACGAGGACCTTTTGGCAAAAACTTTGACAACCTCAGCGAGGCCGAAAAGGCAAGTTATGAACAGAGACTTGAGTTCCTTTAGCGGATCACCTCGCATGAAACATTTCAGGCGGAGCTCGAGCAGAAAAGAGAGGAAATAAAAAAGGAACTGCGGGAGAAAATGGTCAATCTCATCCATGAATTGGACGAGGCTTTGAATAAGCAAACTAAGATCCTGGACGACAAGTCGCTTAGCCGCAAGGACAAACTCAACGCCCTACGGAAGCTGAGAGAGGAGAATCCAAAGGTGAGTTATCGGAAATCTGAAAATCTGTGTGATCCATACCTTTCTAGGTTTACAACGTTCTGAAGGCCATCCTCCACCAATTCGTTCCGAAACATAAATTTGGAAGAAGACATGGCCCCATGATGATGAAGGGACCCAGGCATGGATGGCAAAAGGGACCAAAAGAGGGAAACAAGCCTTTCGGCCCTATGAAGTTACCAGAGCCTATGAAACCTATGCAGCCAAAACTAGGTTAGTAGACGAAAGGTCATAACTCGCTCCGACGATTATGTCAAGTTTTCAGAAGTACCCGTCAAAGCTTGAGTATCAGCTATTGTAACAAATTGAGCAAGTAATAAATTTTCCCTGGACTGTTTCATCTCTAAATGATTTGTATAACTTCGGGTTGAGTAGAGCACGTGAACTCGAGAGTCGCCACATACTCATACTCACATTTCACTATAAACACGGTGAAGTCCAGTAGAGTTGGTCTTCAAACTAAAGCCAATCGGGTCATCCAAAGTGCTACAAACAACGCAGCTTCACTCACATGATAGTGAGACAATAATGGGTCGCATGTATGTGTTTGCCTCTGAAGAATTGCAAAACTCGATCCACCATTTTATGTTACGATTACCTTTTATGCACAAAATTTGATGGCTAGAAAAAATTGGAGATTCAACTACTATTACTACGTGACATACGATCGAAACTCTACCGCTCTGAGATTATTCTTCAAATAATTCGAATAATCTAGCGGCTCAAACATTGCTGGTTTTTATTGCAGTTTTCTGCGAAAAAATTAACAGCTTCATTTGATCTAGATTTGTAGCAGATAATATATGGGTAGCAAGTGGTAAAAATGACTGAGTTATTGTTGCTTGGCAGGGTTCTACCTAGGGAACTGAGAAAAATTTAGCTCAGACTTGTAGTTCAAGGTGTTTAATGTCTTTCAAGACGGCTACTAAGCCTTGATAACCTGAGTAACCGTTCGAAGTTCCGCATTCTACACAGAACTTTTTCCCACAGCTACAGATCCAACATGGAAAAGCTTATGGAATGGGTATCGTTGTCTCCCCGGTGTACGTTGGGCCGAGTATTTGCAGCCTGAACGCGTTGTGAACTTGCCAAACCACTACTGCAAATCGTGGTTCTTTGTACTCTCTAACAAGGGAAGGATACTTGGTGACTGTGGTCTTTTGCAGTAGGGTGTATACCAGTAGATGCGTCTTGAAACGCTGATTCCAAATCTATGTTCATTATCTGCT